TAACGTGATCGCGAAAACTAGCGTGACTGCGAAAGGATTTCATTAGCGGTCAGGTTAGTTTTCGCGATCACGCTAAAAGAACTAAAAACAATTAATTATTTCTTTTTGTAAAACAAAAAGGAAGTCCCGACTTTGCCTGTCTATTCTTCGATATAAACAGGTTAGCATAATCTGCTTTGTCCATGACATTAAACTGTGTATTATGACTGTTTTGAATTGGCCAATGATCGTTTTGAAATGTACACGGTTATATGCCTTAAACGGATTCTGGCATGGTCTACCATACGAGATCGAGGATACCGACAACTCTGCCGTAACCACCACCTGACCATGAGTTGCCCAATACATATACATACAACAGATCAACTCAATAAATAATTCAGATACAATTAGTTATATTTAATAAATCGTTCCTGACCCCACCGATTATAGCAATAATAATTGTACAAACCGTGACTAAGGCGGCCATGAAGATGAAGTTACTTTCAATATTGTGATGAATTTGTTTTTGCGTATCTGTTAATCGACTTAATTAGTTGATTACGAGTGAATGGCTGTGTTATGTCTGTCATCGTTTCGGCCCATTTGAGGTTCTGGATGGAACTTGGCTCAGTGATTTGGAACTAATTACGAGATAACCGTCGCTGTTCTGACAGTTGGTATCCGTAGTTATTAATGTAGTGAACAATTAATCAAAAGATATGACGTATTCAGTACTTAGTGTGATTGGCTGTGTGATTGAAGGTTACGCCCTAGAGTCTTTTTACTGCTTTGTAATTGGTTAAGGTTTTGAAAGTGAATAAAGTTGTTTTTAGTTGGTCTTGGCGAATACACCACGACAGACGCAGTCGAGTCCTGGAGAGTCCTGGAGAGTCTTGGGGCGAGTCTTGACGCAGTCTAGAGGCAGTCTTGGATCAGCCTTGCGATAGTCTTGGGGACTTTGCCCCAGGGCGCTGTGTCTTATAGAGTGCTCGACTGATCGACTAAGACGAGAGTTGAAACGTATTTCGTTGTGTGTGTCTTATTTGACTGTAAAGCTTAAGTGACTTTCCCGATCCCGTACCTCAAGGGGAAGAGATATAGAGACAGAGACGATATTCCTTCTGGCATGTGTGGAGAACCAGAGGAAAAGAATACTCCCCCTGATAATATTAACAAACTTTGCACATCAGCTGATACAATCAAAAACAGCGCCATCATACGAGTGACATGTCTGAGCAGTGAACAATCTTAGCATTATCGCTGTATGAACATTTAGTTAGAATTACGTGAATGAATGGTTTTGTCATTTTATCTTCGGTGTTGAAACGGTCGAATGATGTGGTAGAATCAAATACTAGTAGGACAATATTTAACGTGTATTGAGTTCATGGAAAAAAGAAAACATTCGAGTTTAAAGATTCAATTAGTTTTTTCTTAACAACATCAACGAACAACGCCTTTTTTTCCTTTCGGGCGCGAACAACCGGTGCTTGATAACCAGTCACAGCGCATGCGCGCAAGACGTAAACTAGCGCGACGAGCCGTGTAACCAATTACTAGTATAGCATTTCAATACAAGTGATGAGGTAATAAAAGAGAAAATAAAATAATGGCGTTGTTCGCTTTTGCTGATTGTAAACATATATATATTACCAGAGGTACGTTATATGTAAGATATTACTAATAATAAACAAAGTGGGTCGTGAATTAGGTCTGTATTAGACTTTAAAACGCACTGATAACAGTGTAACCACCAAAGTAAATTATGAACGCATAGTCAAATAACTTGTAATTGCGTTTTTTGTTGAACCGTCTGGTAGGAATCGACTTTGTGACACGAAGTGACCACCTGGTACAAAACACAGAGCTTGTCAACTATCGGCGAATCCTCTAATATAGCATAGGGACTAGCAAAGCGGCTGCGAAGCGTGTGAGAAGCGACCATGTAGTGCAAGTGGCCTGGTGGTACAAAATATCGACGTAGTGCAAAGCGATCACGTAAAACTAAGAGAATGTCTGGTACGCAGTGACTTGATACGAAGTGACTTAGACAATGTGGTTTTCGTACGAAATGACAGGCCCCACCAAGTATTGAATCACTGGAATATTGATATATTTTTTGAAATTGCTTGCGACTCCCACACATAATGGTCCGCGGAACAGGGAGGGGGAGGTGTCTTGCGCAGACATGGTTTTCTAGTCCCTTATAGTTTTAATGTGACTTTACGAGGGCATTGTTTTGTATTCAACATATTCACTAATGTGCCCATTCGTACCCATTTCGTAAGTCAAATTTGGTGGCTTAACTATATGTAATTATAGTGGAAATATGTCAGTGTAAGTCCTGGTAGTTATAAAAAATAACCTGATTTTCTAAATGAAATATTCTAGTTGATGAATGTGATGACAGTTTTTAAAAATAATTTTGTATCTTATCGTAAAATGTTGTTAATGAAAAATTCAAAATGCGCATGTAAATTACATTTTAGTTCATCGATAGTTGAATAGAACCTACAGTACGTCAGTGAATTATTTTATCATATTGCTGAAGATAAAGGAACACATGTTTTTATCTGTAGAATGACAACTAAACACGATGTTTGTTTGTTATCGTACAGAATCACACATATGGTATTAGTACACAGACAAAGAGGAGTTAGAATAAATAGAGTGAAATTATACAGAATGAAATATACATTTTAGTAAACCAATGATATAATGCCAGAGAGCACTAATTACTGGATCACAATGACACATACAATACACATACAGTACACATGTAATAACGTATACACTGACTATTTTAATGAACCACACTTATGATATACATGCATGGAAAAAACACAGGTTATATTCCAGGAGATAAGCCACCATCGTACCCAAATAATTGCTAAAACATAAATACTTGGGTTTAAAAACTACATAATTTCTCGAATGTGACGTCATGTCTGCTTGCATTGCATTGTATTGCATTCGGTTTATCATTGGCCTTATATGTACTGAAATTATTTTTCAACTGTAAACGGATTACATCGCGGGGTGCCTGCCGTTGGTGACACGATATCTTGTTTGCGCACGCGCGGAACGGCTTTCTTGATGTTCCATCCAAAAAATAAAGCAAACACAAATCGCATCTCTGCATCGTTCTTTAAAGGGGAACTGCTCAATCCCAGGGATTGCACCAAAGAATCATGGGACACTATTGTTTATGTTGTTTACAAAGTTAATCTATCTTTTGTTGTCGATTGTTATTTTAATCCGGAAAGTAAATTTGTTGTGAGATTAGGCTTAACTGGAAGTGCCCCTTTAAGTAAAAAAAAAACTTTGGACCAGAAATAGATCTTTGCATATGGTTTCTGCCAACATTGTGTTACAACTACAACTGTTTGACGGTAGGCTTAATTTGTTACACCATTCTTTTGATAACTTGTTGTCAGGCATTCTGTTCTGTTTACAACAATAATTTGTTTACTAGTCTGTATCTTGAATAACGAATGTGAAAACGTCACTACCCCCCCCCCCCCGCGGTGAAATCTACTAAAAGCTGCATTCCATGTAGAAAATCTCTGACTCTAAACACCACAAGGTCTTGGGATTTTGTACAAGTCATATAAATCTTATCCAACAGAATCCTGAAGTTTATTTTAGAAAATAAAGAAGAGTACATGGTCTTGAGTAAATACAACAATGAGAAGTACATTTGATTATATGAGTGGACACCACGATCTTCAGTACAAGCTAGCTTCAGTACTCCAATATTTCAGAAACTTTTGCAAACAAACTGATTTTATAATGAGTGAGACAACTCAAAAGTCTATACAGAATGTAATTACGTAACACAAAACTATTGCTAAAACGCGCACCACTGTACCATGTATTTGTATATGGGCTCTGTGTGAGCTCATGTTGAATACCGGTCGAAAGCCAGCGAAAACAGCTAAAATTTAGGAAACAACACAATCTCAAGTAATTGAAGTAATTCTGAGCAACGAACTTTATATATGCTGTACATAGCTAGCCCAAAATACAGTTTTCTACAGTGGCATTAGTTTTCACCGGAGATGGTTGCCAAGCGGTGAAAATGCCTGGATATATCCAGGCTTCCCCCAAAACACGCTAAATGAAAGTTATGACTGTATTCGGAAACGTCATTGTAACCATTCCGCTCTGCCAATACGGTAATGTAAGATATACTCTTTGGGGCGAAGTTTGTTATAAAGACAAATAGTAGTAGCACGCTCTGGCATCGCTTCGACCTGTTCAGCGGTTCTCCATAACATGCACATGAACAGGTGATAACATCATAATATAAAAATAATGTAATTCACAATATATAATGCGTCAGTGATTAATTACGCGATGTCGTTAATCATCATAAACACATACACGTGCTTACGTGTACACATTTTACTAAACAACGCAAACAATATGTATATGTTGACAGGAGTTTGAATAGAGGAATTCAATTGAAATTAAATAGAATTTTATTTGTATAAATATAATGAAATTCAGAATTTACAATAGATCTAAAAATATTAATAACGTGTATATTAACAATTACAGAAGCACACATATGATATTTGTTTACAAACATAAGTTTGGACAGATAAGACGAAATGAGAAAAAAAAACTCAGTTCACAGTGGTATACTTAATTAATATTCTGGTTATCTTTGTCAAAATACTATAAAAGCCACTGACATAGAGCCATAGCAAAATCACATCACCCATACACGCTGAATAGGTAAGTAGGAATTCAGTTTTAGTTTCATGTTTTCTGTATCGCATACACGCAAATTTGTTATTATGATACACTTAATTTGCATTTATGAATCATAGCCATTTACTTCTGGATATAGATCATTTTATATATATACGTTTGTTTTCCCCGATACTGATTAGTGCTTGTCAGTTTTCACATGTTTGATTGCCATGTGTGGTCTACATTAGATAACATACATTCGACACAACTACATTATCACGTACATTTACTGAATGTTTCTTGTTTAAACCACAGTAATGGAATTGTTGCAAGTCTATTTCTTATTGTCGTGTGCATTACTCGGTAGGTAGTACTAGTATGACATGTAGAATGGCATCAATTAGTTCTACCACAGTCCCATAGAGGGACTGTGGTTCTACTGAGGAATTGTGAGTGGGTCGTGAACGACCACTGTATGGTACTGAGCTGTCTTCAACACAATAGTGATTTAATTGAAAAGTTTATGTTTTTTTTTTAAATTACTACACTTAATATTATAAAACGTTATTATGCGTGAGATATTCTTACAGTACACTTCATAAATTTGTGTATGTTTTCAACCAAAGGATGTTGATATATTTACTCCTGCTCTGTCTTGTCTCTGTGATATATGAAAATTAAATAATAATACACGATTGACATTAACTTATAATATTACATGTTATTTTTATAGTTGTTGCTATTGACCCTAACGACTGTGACGTCAATGTATCCGGCACTTGTTTTATTATCCAACATCAAGAACTGAGATGGAATGATGCCCGCTCTAAATGTCAAGATCTTGGCGGTGACCTTGCCGTTCTAGACAAGATCAACGTACAGGAAGCTGTAAATGCACTTGCTGTTGGGTGAGTAATATATCTGGCATAGTGTATTGTGCGTTATGCCTGGTTTTATGCAAATTGCAAACGAATCTCCGGATAAAGATTTCTAAACTACGATGGACGGCAATTACGCGCCAATCTGTACAAAAATAGACCACCAGTTGAAATTACAAATGACTTACTACCATGACAATTCCTTCATTGTCTTCTAATCTTTCTTCTTGTTCTGGAAACATCAGCGCGCATGGGTGAATCGAGGCACTATCCTGACATTTCCCGATGTGTGATCCTGGTGTTATGTTCGATAGTATTTTTGAACCGAATTATCCCGAGCGTCTGTGGTTTCTTTGATTATCAATATCCTGGGAGTATGTTCTCCATACTTGCTTCATAACGTCCGGGTAGGAGGGGTCGGGGTTTACATTGACCTGTGCATTATGATGTTTTGAAGCATTTTTTACCTATATTGAAGTATCAGTATTCCTAAACAAATCTAGCCTGCTGGAAATATAGATTCCCATTACGGCACCAAGTTCGCAATCACATCAACGAATCGAGCAGTGAAACTAAAATAGTGGGCGTTGTTGATGAATTCATATTATCTGAACAATTCTCAACTTTGGACTAATTGACAAGAAGCAATCATTTATTACATAGCATATACCAGGGTAATCTTGTTTTCCTTTATTTCAGAGGCAAGTCATTGTGGATTGGATTACACGACCTAGCAATTGACGGCCAGCCATTCTGGGTTGATCCGGGCATGTATTACAATAGCAGTAAAGTTTACCCATGGGCGGCCTCAGACAACAACACTCCGGACAGAGATTGTGTTTTAGCTTCGGAAAACCAAAATGGCGCCTTCGAGTGGCAGTATAACAACTGCGAAAGTCCACGTGAATTTCTTTGTGAAATTATCGGTTCAGGTAAAGCAAATTTTCGAAATTTATTCACATGTAATAGAGAAAAATATATTACTTCGTAACTTGCAACTAGTTGAATGAAACTTACATCGCTGAAACTGAAACTTGTTGTATGCACTAATAATTCATGGGTTGGATCTATTTACAGACGACCAAGCTGATATGGAAAGGATTAACGAAGACAAACTGAGAATCGAAGTAGCTAGACTGACCGAGCATGAAAAACCAAGCTCTAAAATAGCAAAAATAAACCAATATCTCGGTAGGTAATATTTCCTATGTAAGTGGTGACACCGAAACTATTTAATTTTTCACTGTGCTTTTATAAACTGACCACCGTCAGTCAAAAACAATATATTACATATCGTAACCTTCGTCATTACAATTGTCAGACCTGCATGAAGGCGACATAAAACTAAATGAAGAAGAAATACTGAGACGAGATATGGGACTCCCAATTTACGAGTAAGTCATTGTTCACTAATTGAGGGCAGTTATTACAGATCGTATTTGGTGGGAGACTTTCATTCATTACTTTAAACTCGCCGTTATTGTCGATGTAATAATTGACGCTTCTGCCTATAACATAGAGTAATTATGCAATTACAAATCATCCTCTATTATTCTGCCCAGAAAACGTGGTGCTGCAGCGGAAGCGCAATATCTTTGGCCTGACCGAACAGTCCACTATGTTTTTGATGACAACATGCCATTAAGTAAGTATACTTACGTATACGTTTGGCATTCCACATGCGAGAATTGGTGTTATTAATATATAAGTAATCAAGTTTTCTGTTCTCGTTAAACCTTAAACATGATGGTTGTCATTTTATGTTGAATAGCTGAAGCAAAAAAGCAAGTTGTACGGAATGCCTTGTTTGCCCTCGAAGAGATGACGTGCTTAACATTCATTGAAGGTTTTGCAACAGATTATTTAAATATCATCAATTCCAATGGGTAAGTACGGAGGATACATACCCGAACTCTATAAACTGTGATGTAGACTGTGTTAACATGCAATCATATGGTATAGTAAGACTAACTGTACAACTAGTGACGATAAGCAACACTTCATTTCAACTATTGCGCAGAACTAATTTATGACGTCAGACTTTTCTTTTCGTTACATACGGTGTTTATCGCGTTATGGTGATTGTTTATTGCGTTATTCGGGTTACGTAACATTAAAGCGGGGGGGGGGGTCGTCACCTGCGCACGCGCGGGAATTGAGTCCCAAGCGATGATAACAACTTACACTTAGAACGCAAAGGCTCGTGGGTAGACGCTTGTTTGCAAACAATGACACGCTATTATGGCCACCTGACGCATGCGTAGGTGACGACTCCCCCGCTTTAAAGCTATATATCTTTTTATAGATGATATTAAAAGTTATAAACATAACATAAAGCATGTGTCGTATCGCACTCAGATGCTGGTCGTATATTGGTAGACAGGGTGGAGCACAGCCTGTATCACTTCAAGACAATTCACAAGGGTCGTGCATCTCAGAAGGAGTAATTCAGCACGAAATCATGCACGCTCTTTCATTCTTGCATGAACAAGCCAGATACGACCGTGATGACTATGTAACGATTAACTGGGCCAACATTCTGCCGAGTAAGTCTGTTTTAATATACTGCTAAATAATGGAAAACAATGAGAAATGAAATGTATGTTAAACTCAATCTCCTTATCCTAATACATAAATCTATCCTTAAAGGGCGGCAGTCGTCGTGCCGCGTCCTGTTTGATATTGGACTCATAGCGACGTATACAACGTGTGTAAAATACATCGCTTATTTACATGAAATTCGAACACGCGCTGCGCGACGACCGCCGCGCTTTAAGTTAATACTGGACTATG